TAACTTTTTCAAGTTTTTGGTTTCTGGGTTTTTCTCATTTGATTTAATCACTATGGGTTTTGCGTAATGGAATGACGAATGGGATTGTTTATTGAACAGTCTGAGGTTTTTGCTGTTGCTTTTGCTGTGCTTGCTGCTGGTGCTGTAATTTTGACCTTGAATGTGCTCCTACTGGTAAATCTCTCTCTCTCTGTGTGGCTCTACTTAATGTTGATTTGTTTATGTTGGTTTTTGGATGTCAAGTTTGCATCTGAATTGGAGATCCCTTAAACTAAGATCCGTTCTTACTTTGTATGTTTAAACTAAGATCCCTTCTTACTTTGTATGTGTACTCTGTCTAATATCAATAATGCTGCTGTCACCAACTTATTTTTTCTCTATATGTATTAGTACCCTGTTAGAAATGGATGAGGTAGAGTGAGCCCAGATTTGAGTAAATGAGAAACTGACACACTTTAGTGAACAATTTGGTGAATGTAGCAGTGCTCCATCTATAATAGTTATTTTTTCTTTCATGCGGTGCAAGAAAGTATAGCATGTTACATATCTTCATACTTGTATGTGTTATCTGCGTACAAATTATAGTTATTTTCTCACTTAATGTGCAGCATGTTATGCTGTCAGATTGTAAATCATGATGGTTGATTAGGGAGAATCGTGTACGAATATGCAATCTTGATTCACACTCTGGAAAGATAGCATGCTAGATATATTGGATATAGATTATTCTCTTGCAGAATAAGAAACTCAAAGAAAAGTTGCGTTTTCAGGGTGGACACATCATATTCTTCCAGAGCCTCAGTCTTCTGGGTTATTGCTTATTCCCTCTTGACATTGGAGCTTTAATCTGTATGGTAAAGGACAATGTGATATTGAAGGTGGTTGTGGTCAGCGTAACATTGGCTTGGAGTTCTTGGGCTGCATATCCTTTCATGAGCTCAGCAGTCAACCCCAGGAGAAAAGCCCTCGCACTTTACCCTGTTTTCCTACTGTATGTATCTGTTGGTTTTCTCATTATTGCCATCGATTAGCACATCAAAACTAAGCATGCTGTTAAATAGGATTTTTGTTGGGTGCTCCATATTCTGACTTCTTGTTTGGGATTCTGGAGCTCCGTTTGTCTGCCTATATCAAATTTGTTGTATGAAACTTCTTACATGATTTTAATGCTATAACGACTCATACTTTTTGCCACTCCTGTGATAAGACGAGTTCATCCCTGTTCATTGTTACATGTGATGCATGGTATAGAACTTAGTTGCATAGTCGGTAAGTTCTCAATTTATTAATAAAATTGCTGATGTATACCGCCAGTGTCTAAAGTCTAAAAGCCATTTTTGCTACAAGGGCTGTAACCAGAACTTTCAATTCTTGTGTGGAAAATTTGTTGTATATAACCGTTGTATACAACTCATGTTACACAAAATTGCTCACATGATAACATGCAAAGGGCTGAATGTAAATGCAAGGTTGATTCAACGGTTGTATATCTGATTTTTCTCATGCTGAGCAAGCATTAGGGGCATGCTATCACTCGTTCTTACACGAGGACAGCGGAGGCTTCAGTTTTCATTTGCTATAGCATTAGCTGAAGGCTTTGCTGCTCTTAAAGGTGTCCCATATGCTATATCAACTAATCTGTGGCTTTGCCCCAGATGCTATAAAGTATAAGCATTGAAGCTAACTTCCAAGTTTGATCATCACTGCTTTTACCACATCGATCCTAAGCCCTACCAAGTTCCAAGTTCCAAGTTCCCAAAAGAAATCAATTGCATGCTGTGACTTTTCTGCTGAAATCTCATGTTACCTTCAGCCAAGGGACATTCTATTGATAAATCCACTCATTTCACACACTAGATTCAGCATTAGCTACTCTTTTGCGCTCTAGTAAACCAATATAAAAGATGCAAGCTCTTTGGTTAGGCCAAGTGAGACGGAGGATCGAGCTATGATTAGAACTATGGTAGGTTAAGGGTTTGATCTCTTCCATTATAACTGAAAGAACAAAGTTGTAAACCATAACTTAGCTGTGTTTTTGGTCTCGCTGCAATGCTATCCGATTGAAAATCGATGTAATTGTTAGATATCTTCACTGAGTACATTAGATTAGGCTCCATAATGGCTAACCTAAAAACCTACATCTTAAAGCCGTCCCTGCTTTTATACACAACAGAAAAGTACAAAATTCAGTTCTCTTAACCATTGTCTAAAATATCGATAATATCGACGAAATATTTAGGATATTATCTTTCTCTTTTTTGGGTCAAGGATATTTTGGAACGTATCCATACACATATCGTATAAATATCGATAATATCGGAAAATATCGATGTTAATAATTTCTCTCACACTTCAGCAACATTTGGCCAAACTATCGCTATAATATCGATAATATCGAGATGATGAAGACAATGAAAATTTTGAAGAGTTATTTATACTAACACTCCTTAAGGTTTCTTGTGTTTTCACAAAACCCCCTCAGGTCTCAAAAATTACACGAGCACCCCTTGAGGTTTCAGTTTGTTTTCATAAAACCCTTTTTCGTTGATTGTCTGTCCAAAAATTGATGATTTCATTGAAAAAAAAAACTTATGCAAATGACAAAATTAACCTCAATGAAGTATATGCAATCTAATCTCAAAGGCCAACTTTGTCATTTAGAGAACTTTTGTATAAAATCATTAATCTTAGGATGAAAAATCAATGAAAAGGAGTTTTGTGAAAACAATTTAAAACCTTAGGGGTGTTATTGTTATTGTAATTTCTAAAACCTCAAGGAGTTTTGTTAAAAGCCAAAAACCTCAGGAGGCGTTAGTGTAAATAATTCAAATTTGAACCTTATAGGAACTCTATGTGATACTAAGTCATTCATATATCTTACCATGCAATGTGTAAAGTGTAAAATATTGTAATAAATCATTATAAATAAATGATTATGGTGTGTTTCATCTTCTTTCATTAATTACTACATATTTTCTATACTCGCAGTGTTTGTCAGCTCACTGTATAATCAACTTAAATCAGTTAAACTCATCATGTAATGCATTTCCTTCCAATTTTTTGTGATAAAGTAATAAATAATTGACTAAACAAACATCCTCCAAAGTTTCAAGAAATTTTCTCAAGTATTTCTTACAATTTCCGTGGTTTTTATTCAATTTTTATTGATATCGATAATATCCTGATATTTTCATCAAAATTTCTAAGTTTTTGGACTACCAATATTTTCGAAACCATCGATATTTTAGACCTTGCTCTCAACCCACACTAATTATATGTGGCCAAGACTTGTGCCCGTCCCCTTGCACCTTAATTCGAACCCCTTGCAGATCGACTTGGAAAGAGGGGAAAGAAAAGATTAAAAAAACACCAAAGTCGAATTATGTGAAGTATGTCTTTTAGCTTTCAAGCTAAAATCCAAAGGAGAGGGAGGCAAACCAGTCCATACCTAATTTACCATTGGCAGCCAATAAACATTTGCAAAAAATTTCCACTTATATTTAAGTTTAGGTAAAAAATAAAGGGATTTTTGTAGAAATGTCGCCTGAATTTAAACATCAGTTTCAATTTATCACCTTAAAGAACAAATTAAGAGAAATGTCACCTTAATTTTTGAAAGTACATGATTTGTCATCTCGCTTTAACACCATCCAATTTTCCATTCATTTTAAGGGTGTTTTAGTCTTTCCAATTTTTAGGGTATTTTAAAAATGAAAATTTCATTCTTAATTTTTTTTAATCTTTTAAATAATTAAATTAGTTACTCCAACTAACCCCGCCCACATTGAAATTCATTCCCCCTTCTCTCCTCACAACACCTTTCTCATCTATCTACCATGAAACACATACACAAAGTCTCTCAGCCCACCCAAATAGAATCCACCTTTTTTCTTCTTTTTTCTTTTTGGTATTTTCCCATTTCCATGTTGAGAGAGAGAGAGAGAGAGAGAGATCCAGTGCGATATGTTTTTGGGGGGGGGTGGGGTTAGGGTGGGGGAGAAGGGGAGAGAAAGGTCTATTTTTTCTTTATTTATTTTCTTGAAAATGGGAAGTCTAAAATACTCTTTAAAATGGATGGTGTTAAAGTCGGATGACAAATCATGGATTTTGAAAATAAGATGACATTTCTCTTAAATTTTTCTTTAAGGTAACAAATTGAAACTTATGTATAAATTCAGGTGACATTTCTTAAAAAATCCCAAAAATAAATCATCCAGATTTTAAAAAACCATTCGAGTTAGGGGAGATTGGTGGATCCATTGGCCATGTGTTAATTAGTCAAAGTTCAAACACGATTGCTACTTTTTTTTTTTTTTCACAAATAAAGTATCTAACTACAGTATTCCAGAAGAACTAGAACCACACAATTAGCTAAAGATACAGAAAATATTAAAAATGAAAGAAAAACAAAAAAATATTAAAAATATAAATAAGAAATAACACCAGCACTGTAAACCAGAAAGGTAACTAAAACAAAACAGAAAAATTTAAAACTAATAGAAAAATATGACAAATTATAAATAAGAAAAAATACCAATAATCTGTAAATGAAATTCCCATGTCTAATTCTATAAGATGAGAATGAAGGATGTTTATTCTCATTTTTGGTCTCGTTTGGTTCACAGATTGAACTTCTATGGGAACAAAATTCTCATGTCTAATCCCATGAGATGGGAATGAAGGATGTTCATTCCTATGTTTGGGAATATTGGGAAATGAGGACTATGAAATGTCATTTTCTCTCATTCTCATGTTTGGTTTGTGCAGTATTAAAAATCAAAAGTTGTTTAGTTTTTCAATAATAACATTGATTTTGTATTATTATTATTTTTGGTGGAATAAAGTTTAGGGGGAAGGGAGGATATCCCATCCTAGGGTCAGGATATATCAAGGCCTCTTTAAGGACTTGCAGAGGGGATCTTAACCCTTTTGGTTTTTCAGATTACCCATTAAGAGAGATTGTCGACTGATTTTATATTATTACAAGTTATTAATATGAAGAGTTTTGTAAGGGTCAAAAGTGGTATTTAAAATTTATAATAGGGGCAAATTAGTCCCAAAAAAAACTGCATTAAATGTTTTCCCAAGTTTTTTTAAGGGGGGGGGGGGGGGGGGGGGTAGGATTTTCATGAAGACACGGAATGGAAATTCCCCATGAGTTAGGTATTACATTCCCAAGGATGCATTTACCAAACATGAGAATGCAATTTCCTACTCATTCCCAAAGTCCTAAATTTTGAACCAAACGACCCATAAAACGAGAAAGATTTGCATGATTAAACTCTAAATGCAGGCAAATTGGGTCTAGCATAGTTGAAAAGGGCATTGAGTTGTAAATTATTGGTTTCATGTTCAACCCCATGATACTTTGACAATGTGTGTGAGATAACTCTCCCTTTGCCAACTTTGGCAACAACAACAACAACAACAACAACAAAAAACCACTAAACCTAGACCAAAGAGGGAAGGTTTGCATGAGCAACACGAATCGAGATGGCAATGCAAAAAGGAATATTTGGCGTGATAACACATCCATTTATTAAGAAATGTTGCTGTCTCTAAACGCTCAAACGCGGACCTATGCAGAGGAAGAAGTTCCTTGTAGATGATGAATTATAAGCTCAAGTTCTGAATGTGGAAAGAAAAGAAAATTATTTAAGTTGAAATATTGAAGGAAACTAAAATGTTGAGTTGTATTTGCCCAAGTTGAAAACTACTTGTGTAGTCAGGAGTATTGATTTTCAAGAAGCCACGTTGGGAGACATTGTGGCAAGTTTGAAATCGAAGCTCTCTCCTAACTCCGATAAGTTTATTCCTCCTATTTTACCTAGGGTTGAGCCTCCTGACCCAAGCCCTGCTGAAGATAAAATGGAGGATATTCTAGGAGGAGATGGATGATGACCATGGAGATAACTCTGTCCCTCATATTACCATTAATTTGGATGCTGCTAGACTAAAAAAAGCAATGCTAGATGTTAAAAATGGAGTTGTTGGTGCTGCTTCTACTTTGGTAGAAGTATTGAACTCTTCCAGTCAGTGAGGTTGTTACCTCAAGCTTTTTTATTACCTTTTTTTTTTCCCCCCATCATCATGATTATGGTTTGGAATGTAAGAGGTGCAGGAAGTAAAAAATTCCCTGGAATTATGAAACATCTAGTTAAAATTCACAATATTGAGATTCTTGTCATTTTGGA